CCTCCGGGGAGGAACCAGCCCCTTCCCACGGCACCATGGGGTCTGGATCCTGCAAAGCAACCCCAAAACCCGGGATGTCCCCGAGCCCCAGAGCCTGGAGGAGCCAAGGAGCTCATCCCATCGTGGGCTCCTCAGATCCCACCGCACTGGAAGCGTCACCAGCACACGGGGGCTGGGGCTGCAGCGGGGGCCGGGGCTGAGCTGGCACGTGGGAACGTCCAGCCTTGGCCGGGGCTGGCAACGGTCCTGTCCTGTCCCTGTCCCACCTGTGCTGTCCTGTCCTGCCCTGTCCCTTCCCACCTGTCCCATCCCTCCTGTCCTGTCCCTCCTGTCTTATCCCTGTCCCTCCTGTAGTGTTCCTTCCCTCCTGCTCTGTCCCTTCCCTCCTGTCCTGTCCCACCTGTCCCGTCCTGTCCCTTCCCACCTGTCCTGTCCCTTTCCTACCTGTCCTATCCTGTCCCACCTGTCCTGTCCCACCCATCCCACTGGTTCCACCTGCCCATAGCACAGCCCAAAGCGCTCCCAGCACTATGGGGCACCGGGTTGAGGGGCTGGGCTGGACAGACCCTCACAGAACCTGGGGCAGCTCTTTGGGGTGACCCCATGGCCCGTGCCCAGCAGCGCCCCARTCCCAACAGTTCCTGGTGCCTGAGRGTCCAGAGCACGGCCCCCCCTCAGCTCGTGGGTCCGGGCCTGATCCTGCCAGGGGGCTCTGCACCCCCAGCACCCCCAGCACCCTCCCACTCGGGCCCCCAGCACCGGGGGTGACCAATGGCTGGGGGGTCAGGATGGAGGGCAGGGGCAGGGCAGGGGTGGGATGGGATGGAGGGGCAGGGGAAAGGCACGGTGAAGATGGAGGGGCAGGGAAGGGCAGGATGGAGGGATGGAGGGGCTGGATAGAGATCAGAGCGGCAGAGGAAGAGCAGGATGGGCGAGCATCCCGCTCACGATGGAGATGGAGAGGCAGGGGAAGAGCAGGGTACAGATGGAGAGGCGGGAGAAAGGGCTGGGTGTCGGGGCAGGATGAAGATGGAGGGGCTGGGTGTCGGGGCAGGATGGAGATGGAGGAGCAGGAGAAGGGGCCGGGTGTCGGGGCAGGATGGAGAGAGATGGAGCAGCAGAAGGGGCGGCAGGGATGAGCATCCCGCTCACGATGGAGATGCAGAGGCAGGAGAAGGGCACGGAGAGATGGCGGGGCAGGCTCGCGGGTCCCCCCGCGCCGCTCCCCGCCCGTGCCGGGAGCACCCCCGGTCCCCGCGCCGGCCGCGCTCCCCCGGCCCCCGCCGCGCCGGTCGCATTGCGGTGCCCGCCGCCTCACCGTGTCCTGCCCGGGATCC